TTGAATTTATTTATTGGTCCATTTATATATTTCTACTTTTTTTCTAGTTATGTCAGTGTCGGTCCTCCATACAGCAGAACTTGGACGAGGTAATTCAATGTCTGAATCAGGTGTGTTGGAGCAGGGAAAAACATAAAACCTGTAGGGCTGCGGCCCTCGAGGACCAGGACTGCCCACCCCTGATTTAGACTGAACTCAATGTATTAATGATGGATACATAAAAATATTATGTTTCCATTAAGAACAAACCAGTCTATTATATTAATATGTCTGATTTTTGTGTTCTTGCAGGCGCCATTCGGTGTCCAGTGTGCAGACAAGAATGCTGGGAGCTCGACATATTGGACAATTTCTTTGTCAAGGATTCTGCTGAGGTGCCCAGCAGCACGGTGGAGAAAACCAGCCAGGTCGGTCGTCACAAACCGCACATCACTGCAGTCGTGTGGCTGAATTCTGCTGCTTACCACGTTTTATGTTTTTTTTTTGTTCAGGTGTGTATGAGCTGCGATGACAACACAGAGGCAACAGGGTATTGTGTGGAGTGCGTGGAGTTTTTGTGCGTTACGTGCATCGAGGCACACCAGAGGGTCAAGTTCACCAGAAATCACACCATACGGCAGAAGGAGGAGATGTCACCAGGTAGCGTGGCCATTACTCGTGACAAAACTTCGCCTGCAGCTGCAGAACATTACGGAGAAGAAAAACAAATCAAAGTTGCACATTTGACAGATGATTTGCTCGACTGAAAAGAGAAGAAGTGAAGGTTTTTAAAAGTTTATTAAGCTGATGATTTCATTTTCTTTGTTTTTCCAAACTCCTCCGCCTCCCAGAAGCGCTGGACATTTCCTCACAGAGGCCTGTTTTTTGCGACGTCCACAAGCAGGAGCCACTGAAGCTTTTCTGTGAGACGTGTGATCGGCTCACCTGTCGAGACTGTCAGCTCCAGAAGCACAAGGATCACAAGTATGAGGATCTTATTGTTTAGTTTTGTTAGTTAGTTTATTTCTAACTTGTATAGAAAACAAAACAAAATGATAAAAAGCGATAACGAAATTAACATATTTGTAAAGGAATGGGAAGAGGTAAAAAACTTATTTAATCCCACCCTTCTCCAAAGCTTATTAAAAAAGCTTATTCTTTTTCCTTATTCTAAGTCACAATCTCATAAAGACTAAAACATCAATGTTTACCTACTAAATTATATAATACCAGAATATATTCATAAACGTAAATAAACATAAATTGTTTTATTTTAATATCCCAGCATGCATGAATGAAATAAATTAGGTTTCAAACAGTATTAAAATTCTCAATGAAACAAATCATAATACATGTCCTAAGTTTATACTGATTGTGCATTTTGTGATTAGCTACCAGTTTTTGGAGGATGCGTACAAAAACCACAAGCAGTATCTGGAGAACATGACTCAGCAGTTGCAGGACAAACGAAAGGCCATTGAGGAAGTATCAGGCTGTGTCAACACGGGGTGAGAAGTGCATCCTAATGCAGACTGTATTTACCCCAAAATATGGAAAACCGAGCGCAGAAAGATCCAAGTTGCGAAACTGATTTACGCTCGGACTTTTCACAGCTTGCAGCAAGTTGAAGAAAACCGTAAAGCTGTGACAAATGAGATAAAGAAGTCCATCTGCAACCTGATCATGGAGATCAACAGGAAGGGAAAGATTCTGATTAATCAGCTCGAGGTTCGTTAAAAAAAAAAAACTCTTTCAGTTGCAAATTTGGAATGTTGGATTTCTTTTGTGACGTTTGATGGGACGTGTTTCCTCCCAGGCTTTGACTAAAGACCACGAGCTGTCTCTGAAAAAGCAGCAGGACGACGTCAACACTCTGACCAGGCATTTGGACCACGTGATCAGCTTCACTAAGTGGGCCACAGCGAGTCACAGCGGAACGGCTCTCCTGTACTGCAAGAGGCTGGTACGCGACTGTAGCAGCACAGCTGTTTTTTGTGTCTTTGCTGCAAGAAAAAAGTACTTTAACATTGCTTTGTTTCTGTCTCCTAGATCCTTTACCAGATCCATTACCTGATGAGAACAAGCTACAACCCATCTATTGTTCCGCAGAGCTCTGTCCGCTTCCAGTGTCGCTCTGGTTTCTGGGCCACAAATGTAGACCTCGGTTAGTCTATTTTATCCACAGCATGTCAGTTTTTATTCAAAGGTTTTTCTCTTTTGGCTTATCACTAATTGTTGTCTTGGAAATAGCAATATATTTCTACTGAAGTAAGCCTTTTTTTCTTTCAATTTCAAAATAAATATTCACACGTTTAACCATGTCACATAAAACCTTAAACAAGTTGACTTCAATGTGATTTCTGATAAAATTCAGTTATCTGCTGCTTTTATCTTTTTTTTTCACTCATCAGTGAGTTTCCATATCAAGTCAACAGAACATTTTGTTTTGATGTTTATATATGTCAGTTAATCTGATCTGGACTAAATAACACGTATGTTTTTGTTGTCAGTTATATCTCCTCACCTACATTTTTTTCTGCGATTGAGGATTTTGTGAATCAAGCAGCAGGTTCAGAACCAAATTTTCTTTAAATATTTTTGACAAAGTTTTCCCGGAACCAACATGGGAAACTTTTTTTTTACATTTTCCCACAACTTTTTACTGCGTAGCTTGTGTTTACGTTTAGATTTTGATAGTAGAAAGCCGTATTTGAGTTGTTTTGAGACTTATTTAACAAATAAGTCTGAGTATTTGCAATTAGGCTAATTTCTTACAAAAGCAGTGTTTTATGTTTTATTTACATTTTCAGTTCTTTTCTTGCAGGGTCACTGGTTGTGGAAAGATGCCCGGGTAGGCCGCCCATCAACAACCACCCTACAGCTCCCAGACCGGAGGCTCCAGCTGTGGGTCTTTCTGTCTCTGCACAGCAGCAGCAGCAGCAGCGACAGAGTACTCTGGCTCAGCTCCAGATGCAGGTAAAAGTATATATATGTATAACTCAGAAGAACTAAAGTACTGCATTAAATTAAAAAAAATGTATAAAACTCACGGATTAAAGTAGGTTTCCATAAAAGGTAACCTGTTGAATAATTCATTTGCTCAAGGTTGACAAGCTTTCCCATCAGCCTCACAGACAGCCCGCTCCTAACCACTGGTCCTGGTACCAAAACGTCCGGCTTCCTGGACCTACCGGCCCACCACCGCCAACCAGACCCATCCACGGGGGGTCTTCACCATCCCAAGGCTCCCCCAGCATGACACAGCCTGGACGCAGGTACGGGAACACCCATCCCAATCCGAGGAGCCCCCCTCCGAACATGCTTCAGAACCCAAGCTTCACAGCTTCACACGTAAGTCAAAGGCTTCAGGAGCACATTATATTATTTATGTAGTAATCTTTTTGTTTTAATAGACAAAACAATAAAATAAATTGACTTCTCCTCTACAACTAGACTCTAAGAGAGCTGATCCACAGCTCGAGTTTTCCCCCTAAACCCGTAGAAGTGTCGCAGGGCATCTCTCGCTACCCTCAGCCTCTGACAGCAGGAGCAGCTACACAGACATCACTACAACAGGTTAGTATCGCAAATATCTGATGTAATTGTGTGTTATTGTGGCGCTGAATCTGTGTGTTTTGGTTTTACCTAAAGAGATTTTTACCGGAGTCCTCCCTTCTAAAGAGGAGTGAGGCTGGTGGATCGGTCCCCACCATCAACATCTCTATACCCAAACCCAGCATGCTCAGTCTGGGCTCAGCAGCTGCAGACAAAAGTGCACTCGGTCATTTGACAGGTCGGTGCTTTCATCAATATTTCCTGGTCTCTATGGAGAGTTTTTGACTTTAAGATCTCTCTTTGTTAATTTCAGCTCACGGAAGCCAGAACTCCCCGGTGGCGAAACCTTCCTCTTCAGATAGAAGCGGGTGAGAATTTATCCATCAATGTTTCTGCTCCATGTGATTCGTCTTCTGAAGACATTTGTTGGTGTCAGGATTAGGAATAAATATCTCACTTTTATATCGTGCTTATGAATTCTAGCCAGTTAAAAACATACAGTATATCCATTTTTTAAGTGATAGCTTGTGTGCTTGTATTTGTCTGTTAGTAAAACATCTCAAACAGTGGACGGATTTGAATGAAATTGTAAATCTATAAGATTGCCACTACAGCCAATTGAGCTTAGCAAACTTAAAAATAGCTGCAACTTCATCAAGTTTATAGATATTTAGGTAAAGTTTGTGTGGTAGTAGCTGAGAGTTGAACTCAACACATGAATTGAGTGCGAACATGTCACACAATATTTTTGTTTAAAGCTTGCAACATGCAAGGTAGCGGACACCCATTCCTTTAATGGATGTAATGTTCGATTTAAAACTTAACACAGTAGTTTTTTAATTAGCTGTTTGATCATTTACACCAAAATATTCTGTTTGAAAAGCTTCAGTGAGGATTTTGTGCTCATCAGAGTACAGAAAATGTATTGGGGAAAGTTACCGCTGATGCTATAAAGTGACAGAAGATGCTTTAATGCAGTCACAGTTTCTATTACAGAGCTTTAAACATATAAAGATAAAAAACAGCACTGAGCTGGTTTGATCAAGTTTATCTGATTGATTACAGCTTGTTAATTGATCATGGCGTTCCACAGGGTTGTGTGTTTGGACAGCATTGTTTTGTAAATGCTTCAGTTTTATGCTGATGATACTCTGCTTTATTTATCCATTTTCATCCAACTAAGCCTAATCTAAACCTTAACGTTATTTTAAAGCTTTCAGTTGTGGTCAGTATTTTGTTTATAGATTCTGGTTTGTGTCTGTGCGTATTAAAGGTTGACTTCCTGGAAGCAAACTTCGGAGCCTTCAGCCCCTGCCTCCAAACGACGAAGACGTGCATCCCCTGGGCCCATTATTGTCATAAAGGACGAACCAGAGGATGATGACGAAGTTCGTTTTGTAAGAGATGGACTTTGATTTGCATAAATCCAGAGCGCTGTAGAAATGATTGATGTGATGGTTTTGTTCCAAATACAACAAGAAATATACAATTTAAAACACGATTAGCAATAAGAAATCCCCCGTAGTCGACTTTTTTCTATCTTAACTATTTCAGTGTTGTATTTTTGCTGCCTGCAGGTGCAGTCCAGCTTTGGGTCGAGCCTGCCGGACAGCAGCACCGGTGCTCAGTCGAAGCCCAGGCTTCAGCAGAAGGGGGCTGCGGCGGTCGCAGTCCTCACGTCAGACTCCAAAAAAGATAGTCCTCAGACCCAGCCCGAGTCTGAAAAGAAGAAAGAGCACGAAGAAGACCCCAACGAGGACTGGTGCGCCGTTTGTCAAAATGGAGGAGAGCTGCTGTGCTGTGACAAATGTCCCAAAGTTTTTCATTTGGCCTGCCACATTCCCACTCTGAATGAGTCCCCTAGGTAACACACAAACCTCAGGAACATATAATGATGAAAAAATGCTTTTAAAATAAACAAATTTGTGTTTTCACAGCGGCGAGTGGTTCTGCTCGTTCTGCAGAGACCTGGACTCCCCTGAGATGGAGTACGACTGTGACAGACGGGACGGTCCAGACTCAGAGAAGTTCCCACCCGTCGACAGAAGGGTATTTATCTTTCTGCGTGCGGCCATTTCACAACAGAGGCAGCTTATTATTGGAACAAAACTTGATAAACTGTCTTTTCTCTTATCAAACAAGTGAAATATTTCATCTCATCTTTTTTTTGTTTATGTAGAAGTGTGAGAGAGTTCTTCTACGCCTGTTCTGTAACGACTTCAGCACCGACTTCCAGCAGCCTGCATCTCCATCGGTAACACACCGCAGTCAAATATTTATCTTTAGGTTGGGTGATTGAAGTATTTTTATTTAAGAATATGATTTAACTTCATGTTAGCTAAGTTACTTTTTCCTCTTGAGAGTTTTGACCTGTAAATATACACCTTGATTGTTTTTAATCCACCTCGTTTTACTTTTTTTAAATTTTGAGGAGTTTTTTGTTTTAAATCATAATAGAGTTAATTAGATATGTTTAGTTTAACCTCTTGAGCCCCATGCAAATCAGCTTTTTCTGTTTTCTATTTCTTTTAACTTCATATCTGTCACTTGAATCCGGACATGTTTGGTATTAAAATAAACCTAAAAATCTTGGCTAAAAGCTCATGGAAACTAATTTTACGTCCACCAAACACAGTTCAAATGACAAGCAGTTGATTTAGATGGTAAACAAACTGTTCAAAATGGCATAATTGCTAAACTGTAAATACATTCAAGCAAATCTGTAAAGGAAAATTCTTTGACATTTTTTTAAAGCAAGTCAAAGTATATATTTAAATATGTTGTAAAGTGTGTTGAAAGTTTCTTTCACTTGATTTTGATTGAATATGATGCAACTGAACTTAAATATAATTTCTCATTATTTTATATAATGTGGTGACAAATAAATGTTTGGATAATTTTTCAAAGGAACGTTTGTTCTTTTGAAAAATAACTTTTGGATGTAAAAACTTAAGATTTCTTTACATTTGTTAAAGGTACCATCGTGATCTGTCCTGTGCAGAACGACAAAATGCAAAATTATTTCTTTACTAAAACCACTGTATCTTTGCTCCAGTTAATTTTAGCAGCATGAATCTTTGCACAGGTTATGTCCACAAGTGGATTTATGGTTTCCAAGAGCTTTTAGCCTGATTCATTATCGTTTTAAATGGGTTATATACTGTCTAATGCAAAAATTTGCAGCGCGATTTGAACGATTTGAACGATCTGAGCGTTCGACGCGCTGAGGCGCAAATCGCTGAAGTTAGAAAATCTGAACTTTTGCAGCTCGACGCGCAGCGTCAACCA